CTACTACATTGTAATAGTGTGGCAACAACAACCCACTTGCAACCAATAATTCAAAAACAGTTTACCGAAAAGTTGCCGCCTTTTCTCGTATGTGTCAAGTACAGATTAAGTTTGTACAGATACGTAACGCACATTGGTTGTTCACGCAACTTGACGCACTTTACTCATAGAAACATAGTCCTTAGCATCAACTGCAGGAACAGAAACAGGAAGCAGAGCAAAACGACCAAACGGCCAAACGGAAAAGGAAATGCAAATATTGAAACATTTTGTCGGGCAGCTTTTCAAAACCAAAAAAGCAGAAACTCCAAAGTTTTGGGGAAGGACCTTGATAAGTAAAGTAGAATCCTGGCGAGTATAAACAAGGCACTTGGCATAGTCAAGAGTACATGCGATTTCTCACTTTAAGGAGTGCGTAAAGGCGCTGATGTTGTTGTTGTTGGTGTTGGTGTTGGATTTTGTTGAGGATGTTTGCATTGTAGCGCTGTAGATATTGTAAGTGCAGATACTGTTGCTGATAATGTTGTTATTGCTGTTGTTGCCGCTGTAATCAATTTGTTGCCATAAAATTTTACTAATTTGCATTTATTATGAATTACGTCTGCGTGTGGCAGGACGACAGTTTCGATTTTACTTAAAACTTTCTAAATGGTTGTAGCCTTAATTGTTTCTAATGTTGGTGTTGTTGTTGCATATATTTTTTTCTCATCAATTTAATGGTAAAACGTCTGTTGACCGTAAGCTGACTGTTCCGGCGGCAATACAAAGTTTGCAACTCATTTTCAGTTTTTTTTTTTATTAAATCCTAAATCGTAACGTTGCCTGCTGAAACTTTGTTGCTGTGATTAGTTTGCACTTTCCTCTATCAAAGTACATATTTTACAGACCTTAATTCTCGTTTTTAGAAGTGTTTTAGACAGGTTCTTCTTAGGGTCAAGCTGATATGAAGTTTTAAGTTTTAACAAAATTTCTGAACCGTCAATCAAAATATATCTTAAATGACTACAAAATTAATTTATTTCAACTGGGGAAGGTACGGAAATGTATAAGACTTGAAATAAATTAATTAAAAAGTGCTACCATAATTTTATAATAGTAAGTGAATAAAAAATAGAAGAGTCATAGGAATTAATTGGAATTAATATGTTTGACAGCTACTTTAAATTATATATTATGGATTAATATTCAACATTTCATTATTCAAACATTATTTTCAGAAAGAAAAGTTTTATCTATTTAAATTGGAAAGTATACCTTAGCATAATAATCAATTTTTAGTTTTTGGATTTAAACCGAATTACTTCTATGCAATTTTGTACGTTGTCTCTGATATAGATTTTTAACCCGTTTAACAAATCTTTTATCTATGTGTACAGTTCCAGCAGTATTGTGGACAATTGCAAGGCATATCCGCTAGTCAGGCAGAATAGCTTAGAAACATATTCTTAAAGAATCTAAAGATCTAGCCATATTTTAATTTATTTTGAAAATAACAACAATATACCATTTGATTTGCGCTTAACTGTTTGCATTGGATGATAGTTTCACAGAGCATTTTCCCCAGACATAAAGCATTTTTTACGTCTTCCTTCTAAATGTGGCAAGAGTAATGCAAAAGAATCTGTTGGTATAGTTTACTTAGAGCCATATTTTCTTAGTCATATTGCTTTAGTCATATTCCCTTAGTAAACAATACGAGCAAATTTGCATTAATAACTCTTATCACAGTTAAACAGAAGACGAAGAAAGTGCTTGACATCTGCGAAAAACGTCCAAGTGACAATTATTACCGCATTTGTCACGTTCTAAATACTTCGAAAAAGGTAAAAAAAAACTCTGCTCTCAGGAGTATGAAAGAAAATGTAATATAATCAAAACAATTTACTCTCAAAACACAAATAAAACATAACATGTATACGTATCCAGATATCTAATAGTAAACTTTATTTTAATTATCTTTCAGGTTAAAATATGGTTTCAAAATCGCCGCATGAAGTGGCGAAATTCAAAGGAACGTGAGCTTCTAGCAAGTGGTGGCTCACGTGACCAAACTTTACCAAATAAAAACAATCCCAATCCAGATTTATCAGATGCAAAATGTGATCGTCCTCTTACTCCCATATCGCCCGGATCACCTTCACCAAACTCACCACAAACACAAAACTCCAAAGAAGAAAATGCAATGAATACACCCACAACATCCACATCAACGACACCAAAACCAGTGCCGACACCAACATCACCAATGTCACCACTTCAAGCATCACCACTACTACAATCAGCAACAACAGTCAATGCGTTTAACTCACAAAATATGCAAATGTCAACGCCTCCGCCTCTCTTGACTGTTGTTAAATTGAATGCTAACATAAATGATCAATCATCACCTAGTTCATCAGCTGCATCATCACCACCCAATCTGCCACCACAAGCTATAGCGGCACTATCCACTGCTGATTTTCAAGCAAAAATCAATGCAGAAATGCAGAAGCATTTAGCCGCCGCTGATCTGAAATTCAAATTGGAATCGACACTCAACGAAGCCAAGCAACGACAAAGACATCTCAGCATCTTGGCCGCTGGAGCGGTAAATGCAAGCAGTGAGCAACATGCATTGCAAATGCATGCAAGCCATGCAGCTGCCAGTGGCATTTTTATGGGTGAAGCGCTCGGCGCACATCTACAACATCATCATCATCATCCCCATCAACCTCCGCAAGTGCCGACACACGCCCATTTTCAGAATTCAGAATTTATGAAAATGTATTACGACGATTACGATGACTCGAATTCGGACAGTGACGAGGAAATCAGTGTAACGTGACCGCTCTAAACCCCATTGAGTTTTATGAAAAAAATACAAAAAATGGTTTTATTTATTATATTATTTATTGCATATGAAATAAATTTTGTAAATACATGTGGCAAATTTTGCATTAAATTAAAAATTAAGATTTTATGTTGCATTCAACTTTAAGTATATTATTTTAGATGAAATATAATTTTGTGATTTATTTAAATTTATTTTATTTATTTATTACAATATAGATTTATTATCAATTTTAAGATTTAAGTACATGTGTGAAAATTATTAACAAATATAGTCTGTAATTATCTTTTCGAATTTAAAATTAAATAAACGTATTCATAAAATGAAAATAATTAAATATTGGACTTTTGTATATCCCAATCATTTCAAAATTTCAGCACAGATACTTATATATTTGTCGCTACATTACATTTACCACCGTCACCACAAATCATCTGATTACATATATTATGGTAATGATTTATATAGACCATAATGAACTTGTATTAATCAGATAAGATGTATGAACATGAACAATATATATATAAAATATCATTATTAGTCAAAAATCCTGCGGCAAATAGTCGGTGCCCCCTGGTATATAAAATAAGATGTATAATGTCACTTAACATAATTAATTTCTGTTAAAGATACTATGTAAAGAACTGTAATCTATGATATTGAAATTGAAATCTATGAGATCCTAAAACTATGCAACAAATATTATCTAATGAATAGTAAGTAACAAAACCATTAAAAGCGAATAAAATATATTTGCATAATAAAGTTTTTAAAAATTGTTTTAAAATATTTTGTAAAATATTTTTGAAGCATATTGATCAAAAAATACTCTTCAACGCTTTTTCGAAAACCCATTTGTTGTATATAAGCCATAAATCGCCTTTTTAACATTACATTATATTAGCGACATCTTTCTGCCTGTCTGCCTGCAATTAGGTCTTCTAATCATTATATTTTTCAACTAATTGGAAAAACTTTTATAGATCTGCATTCAGACTAATCAAATTGACAAATAGACAAAAACCTTTAACTTGATTGTTTTTGTAATTTCCAAACATAATAATTAACAAAAATGAGTTTATATTTACACATTCATATTGAAATTTAATATAATTAGTTATAATGTTAAAATTGTTTTTTCATCGAAAGTGACGGGTCTTATGACGAAAAGAAACTATTTAAAAGTTGGAAGAATTCGAAGAGAAACGAAAAGACGACAACAAAAATTTTAGTTAATCTATTAAAGTTTAGTTGACCATAGAATGCTGTTTCGAGCACTCATCATTAGTGGTCTTAGAAAATATTCGAATTTTTCAATTAGTTTATAGTCCATTAAGCAACTTTCAATACTCAAGTACTAAGTTTTTTGTCACTTTTTTCATTTTTAAGTGACACTAATCCTTGTTCTAGTTGGAAAAAGATTTTTGGTGAATAACTAACTAATAGATTTGTAACACAATTGTCTGTTTAAAAGTGTATCAATACAATCACTCCTTTGCTTCTTTTAAAAATTTCAGGTATGCTTTTCGAGTTATGAAACCCAAATTTAGTCATAATATATATCTTGAAATAATTAATTTTAATCTTGTTCTTCTTAATATATTGCTATAGGGATAAGTGTTCTTAAAAGTATTAACAGGACTACATGTTACAAAACTATGCAATGATAATTGCAAATCAGATTACTTTTAATTAGTAAAATCATTTCATTAAATAAAAAGTAGACGTTAATCCAATTACTTTAAATTATAACATCACTAATAAAAAACACATCGCTAGCTTGATTATGTCGTGAGAATGGTTAGAGATGCTCCAGCAAAAAAGATGTTTGAATCAGTAGTTGGCGGAAGAAAACGTAGAGGTAGACCATGTCTCCGGTGCAGTGATCAAGTTGAGGAAGTACTAACTGGACTTGATGTACGAGACTGGAGAAGGCGCGCATGCAGCAGAGGCGTCTAGGTGAACATGCTGCGTCAGGTCGAAACTCGGTAACGAGTTGTTATAACCAAATAAGTAAGTAAGTAAGTTATAAAAAAAAGCTAATCAAACTATTTAAGATCTAAGAACACTGTAGTCGCTTATTTTCTAGGCATTGATCCTCGTCAACAAGAATTATTAAACTAAAAAAATAATAATATAGTCACGTAAATTAGTTTAGTTTTGCATAGAATCATGCTCGTTTAATTGTCAAATGTTTTTTACTTTATATAATTATATAATGATTATATAAAATTAACATATATTTTTATAAATATTTACATACATGCATACATATCATTGTGAAAAGATAAATACTGTTGCTTTACTACTTAAAAATACTATTTACTATGAAAACTTCAAAAATTTAAACTATCAACTTATATATAATATTATTATAATTAGTAGAATATCACGTGGTGAATGAGTTGGAATATTTACAAAGAACATAACAAATGATTAAAATATTCAATATGTTAACTAATTGTTAATAAAATTTAATTCTAGAAAATTTGTACATTAAGTTTCGCGAGGAAAATAGATTTTATTCATCATCCATTCGAATGGCATGATTAGTGTGGCCCAATTTGTCGCATGAGCTATAAAGTGCATTAGGAATTTTAAGATCAACATCAGATGGGTACTGTGGCTTCCAGACAGCATCAACTACATTGTTATTGTTATTTGCAGCATTTATTTTAAGTATCTTATATTTTTGTATAGTATTTATTATGACTGATATGAGTAGACCAAGAAAGACTGTAAGCAGCGTGCCAATCATAGAGTACCACATATAACTGAGTCTAAAAATTGGCCAAGAACTGTTGATGGAAAGAAATTCAGATTTTATACATAAATAAATAAACAAAACTATAGACTTACGTAAATCCTGCTTCTTGATTGATATTCACAACATTTACAATTGTTTCTGTAGCATTTATATGGCAATCGCATTTATCAAGTGATAATGGTAGAGCCTCTGGTTCAACATTGGCAATTTGCGCAACTACACCAATAAATATGACAACGGCTAATGATAACAGGCCACCATAAAATGCGCCGCGGGTGTTAGCTTTCTTGAAAGCAATGCCTAATACAAAAAGCCCCAAAGTGACACCACCGATTAATCCATTTAGTGTTAGTGTGGCTTGTAAAACACCGCCGAGCCTCTCCACTATGAACACCAAACCAAATGAAAGTATGCCAAACCCTAAGGACATCCACTTAGCATATAGTGCGCCTTTGTCGGGTGTAATCTTAATGTTCATACCGTTTACAAGTAAATCCTCACAGGTAACTGCAGAAAGTGAGTTTAATGCTGATGCAACAGTTCTAAAAGTTTGGATTAAATTAGACATTTATTTGATAAATCAAAATAGAGTTCAGATGCTTACCCTAAACTTGCTGCAAATATACCAGCTACAAATATGCCTGCAATTGTGTAGATATGTTCATAAGTGTGCATTATATAGAATGGCAACAGCTGATCAGAAGCGCCAATACGACCAGCTGTTAGTGGATCACAATTTTCATAGTGCTTAAATATCATAAGACCCGTATAGAAGTTCATTAAAAAGACTAAAACGAGACCAAGTATCGCAAATCCAAGTGCTACTTTAGCTAATTTAAGTGATTTGAGTGACATGCACTTTTGTACAGAAGCCTGATTAGTACAGAACAAAGATGTCCAATAGAAGAAACCACCAATTACGACAGACCAAACTGTGTGACGAGTGGTGGGATCCATATTAAAACTAAAAGAAAAGGATTATAAGTATGTTATGTGTATGGTAATATTATTATAGCTTACTTAAAAAATTCAAGACGTTGCTTATCTGCAGCAGTATTGAAAATCTCTACTGTGGTCCCACTATAAAAATAACCTAAAGCGACAACTAAAACTAAGGACACAGCTAATACAGCAGCCTGCAAAAAGAAATTTTGACAACCATTAAAAATATATATATGTAAAAAAAACCAATATAACTTATTACCTGAAATGTATCTGCTATAACCACAGCCTTCATTCCTCCCTGAGAGGAGTAAAACACGCACACCACATAGATAAGAATTACAGCAATTTTTGTATCCAAACCAGTGGCCTTCGAAAGTGCAATAGCTGGAGCCAAAACAGCTACAGCAGTATAGAAGCACATCTATAAAAGTAATCGTTTTTTATTAAAATATATTGACACAACATAATATTCAGTATCAAACATCATACCTGTATGACATACAGAATGGCACCAAATATGCGTATCTCTTTACCGAAACGAATACCCAAGTACTCATAGCAACTAGTCAACTCCATTTTGAAATATATCGGATAGAATATTTTCACAGCAACTGGTACGACCAAAACCATTGGTATAACTGTAATGAATAAAGAAACTAAATTATATACCCAATCACATACATATTTGAGAGAGTAAACATACTTATTAACACAAATTGTGTGCCTTGATAATACATTTCGGATGGATTACCCAATAGTTCAATAGCTGTTATAAAACTAGTTGTCAAACTCAGTGTAACTGGGAATATAGACATTTCGGAGCCGAGCAGAAATTCTTCTGAAGAACTACCAGACTTTTGAAAGAAACCATAAAAGATACCAATACCCAAAGATATAACCAGCATGCCTAGTAAAATTGCGTAATCATAGGCAGTAAAGGCGACCTTATGCTTTGGTGCGCTACATTCTTCTAATGGTTCCATCTCTGGAAGTGTTTCCAATTTATACGATTCAAGCAAGAAATTTGCAGCTTCTTTGAAGCCAACATTCTCACCCGAAGCTCCTTCACCGCGTACTACTAAATAATCTTGTGGTGTGTTGATGCCGGTACGAACTTCAGTTACAGGTGGGTCGGTGGTGGTTTCGTAGGTCTTTGGTATGGTTGCACCGCAAATGCAATGTGCCAATGCAAATAGTGCCAGCATTCTTAGCATTGTTTTTGCCATTGTAAACAAACTTCAGTGTTAGTTGTTTATTAATTATTGTTCTGCTTGTTGTTTGTATGATTTGTATGTTTAGTTGACTTGTAATGTCACTGTCAAGGCCTTTTCAATAATTACGAAATGTGGCAATATTGTTTGATTGCTTTTGTTTATCTATTAGGTTTGTTTGTGTTTTACAATTCTGAGCTGTGGTGGGGGCGAGTTATTTACATCTCCGTTAAAATTGTGATAATTATTAATTATTAATTTTTATATATTTAACCTGTAAAGAAAAATAATAATTTAATTATTTTAGAGGGCTTGTTAGGTATAAAACAGTTTATATATTTTAGAGTTGAGAATAATTAATCTATAAAATTTGTTTATACAATTTTTTATAAATATTTAATTTAATCATTTTAATTTTAATAAATAATAACTAAAACAATAAATATTTGTATCTATGATCATTTTTAGTTTAGTTATCTCAATCTGAAATTACTGCTTCGGATAAAACGAAATCTGTTCTGGAGATAGAAAAAGACAGGATTTACTCCTTTGTCTTTATAAGGAATAAAATAAATAAATCATTTTGCTTTATAAAGGAGCATTTGTTCAATTATCTAAAAATTTTAGGTAATGTTCCGAAGGTTAGTCTACAATGCGTAATTTATAATATTGTCCTTAAAAAATCTTTAATTTTGTTATTAATTTGAATTCATTAAAGAGCTTCAGAATAATTTCAAGTTAAATTTAAAAAACTATTTTTAAAAAAATAATTTTTTAAAAGCTGAAGACACAAATTTTCATGCTATTCGTATCTTTTATACTTTAGGATTTTAATTTTAAATATTTATATGGATCTTAGTTTCGGTAATTTCAAATAGTGTAATAAAATTAAATTATTCATTAGTAATTTATTTATTGAATCATGAAGAATATATAGAATATATAAATATAATAATAATTTCCTTGAATTCATGTTAATAATTCATAATATCATTATTAATTATTATACACATTTATATGTCTAAATTATTTTTCTATCTATAGAATTACATTTTATTTCTTAAATAAATTTATATTTAATTTTCTTAAAACACTATATATAAACAGATGTTTAATATACACAGTAAAACAACTCAAAACAAAACAAAATTTAATTTAAAAATATTAATTGAAAAATGTTATAAATTAATTAAAATTTGTCATGCAAAAGTAATATAAGTAAACAATAATTCCAACAATATATAAACAAACATATATGGTTTCTGAATTAAATTAAAGAAAGACGCGCGTTAACAGGGCCTGCTGCACCCAAGAGGCCAATTAAATTTTTTATAAAGTGATATTAAGAATAACAAAACTAAATAATTGATAAGATTTTTCTGATTCTACAAAAAAATTATTAGTACTTTCATGTACTATATTTTTTGACTCCATAATTTTTCTGATTGCGATGATTTTTTTTTTCTATTTTTTACTAACTTTCTACCAAAAATTTACAGAATTTTTATCTTCCATACTTCTTGACTCTTTGATCATATAATATATATTAATATATATTTATTTCTACCAAAAATTTACAGAATTTTTATCTTCCACACTTCTTGACTCTTTGATCATACAATATATATTAATATAATGCGTAATAATCGGGACATTTTTAGAAATACCATATCTCCGAAAAAAATTTTTTAGTCTAATGTTTTTACTTATTATCTACAATCCTTTAAAATCCTCTGTTTTAATAAACCCTAAAGAAATTGAATGATAACTATAGTGATCTTCAATCTAACAAAAGGTGTTATAAAACGGAAGAGATACAAAAATTTCTGACCTACGCTGCTGTCTTCAAAGAAAGCCAATAAAAATTCTCAAGCAGTTCGTTTCACTTGACATTAATATTCATCTCCAGAATTTGTACACAAGCCTTCTAAGCTTCTGGTTTTGACCGAACAAAGGAAAGGCGAAGACACACTTTGTATGCACCATGGCTTGTAAATTTCGGTTCAACTGCATCTCAGTTTTTTCTTATTGTTTTCTCATTTCTTGTGAATTCGTACTCTTTCAATAGTTTTGCCAGTGCTCGTGCGCGAAACTGCCGCAAATAAGTATTAGGCGAATTTATCTGGTTTATTTCGGATTATGGCAGACATACTGGCGCGAACCAGTTTAGCAGAGAAACGGAAGAATTTCAAAATTAATATGCACATATACACACGCATACATATACATACATATACAGCTTTGCAAACATATCAAATAAATGATAGTTTAGTTGAGAGGCGCCAATAGCTTCTCACCAGTGTTGTTGGTTTTTTCTCGTTTTTTTTTTTGTTTGTGTAACACGTTTTTTTTTCTTAATGCATCGGTGCCAAATAGCGTCGTGTGCCGCTAGTAGAACTGGCACTGTACACTATTAGGGTTACGTAGCGTAGCTTGAGTAACAGGTGATCATTAAAATTAGATTAGATATTAGATCATTAAATTAGATATAGCGATTGTATCTTTTCATTTATTAGATTGGGGTTAGCAGAATTTTTAATTGTCTTTTATATATAATATATTAATTTCCACACATTTTTTTTCTGTGACAAAAATATATAGATAAACTTATATATGCCAATATTTTTATCATTTTAGAATACCTATATATTGGTATTTAGAGCGATATAAACTGTATTGCTTATTTTTTACAGTATACATTTAATTCAGTTGTAATATGGTATATTCAAAACGTCTGCGCTAATTATTTAGATAACTATACAAAACAAAACTAAAAAATAAACACCAAGTAATAAGTTTTTTATTTTAAAATTTATAGAAGCCTTTTTAAATAAATATATCGCGTCACAATTTAAACTATTGAAGGCAATAAAAATACATATTACGATTGTTTTCTAATAAAAATTATTTCCGTAAATATTTAATTTTTTATGGAGATTGGTTTTTCTCGAATCAAATCGGTACAAATGCCTTTCCTGATTTGATAATATCAGTTTGACATATAAAAAACATGTTTTTAAACAACATATAGATTGTATAATATAGACCTGAATATAGATCTGAATTTGCAGGTCAAGCCGTCGAGTTATATGTATTAATGGATTCTCAATGGAAATTCATTTCAAAAATCATTTCAAAGTTGTCGAGATTTATTCTAAGTCAATTTTCCACAATTTTATAAAAAATTTATTGTGTTTGATTTTTTTTTAACATTGTCAGTGTTTAATTACTTAGTTTTATAATAAAAATCAAATTAAAAACTAACTAAACCAAATTTTTTTATTAGTAAATTAGTATTGAAAGTTAACAAATCGTTAAGCAAACTTCTAATTAATTTTATCGAATAACGATAAAAATTAATTATTGAGTAATCACTAACAAAAAAGAAATGAAGTATTTTGATCAAAATCAACAGCTGGTCGTATTGGCGCCTCAGTGATCAAAAATAATTGTTGCGTTCATATCAAAATTATTTTAGAAAAAGTTAAAAATATTTGTACAATTTTTTTTTGTAACTGAAGAGGTCGTTTTTTCAATCTACATTTCAATTATTTTAACTGGAAATTATAGTTATACCATTTACATATGTTAGGTAAAGTTAAAAATTTAATAACTCATCAGATTAATGTGAAACTGATAGAAGTCCACAACATAATAAACTAAAATAAAATTTTATTACAAACAATCATATGATTTACAAAACCCCTTTTATATGTCTCACTGCTCTGCATCACATTTTCGTTACAACAATTAAACTCAATTCAATTAACAACACACATACTTGCAAAGCATTTCACCATCTACACGACACACATGCATTTCACCATGGTCCATAAGCGCACATGCAAAACAACAGAGTCATCATTAAAATGACATCGACGGGCTTCATTCGTTTTATTATCAAATAGAAAATTCTTTAGCGTCATGCATTTCAATCAGAAATTTTTTTAATTTCATTTGTTTTCATTTTGTAATAATTAATTGCATTCACTGAGGAAACACATATTAATTTATTCCTTCATTTTATTGCCTGTAAATGAACAATCACATGCAAATCTGTGGACCAAATAATATGTAATTTTAATAAAATTGATACTCGCACACTTTATGGCCAGTAGTGAATCAAAAAGTGGAAAACTAATGTATATAATTTTTTTATTAATTATTTAGAAAGTAAAAAGAAAAGCCTAAAAAATTTTGATTTAGTTGGTATATTATTTTATGAACTCTGATCTACTAATTCTGTTAAACTGAGCTTACAGTGGTATTTTAAAGTATTTGTTATGAATGTGGATTATCTGAGTTGTTCTAAGAAACTCTACGCCTATGACTTATAAAAACCCCTATACCTTACGACAGTTGCCCATTTTGTCCTGAAGATACGAAACTCTGATACTTGTATACATGTTTTTTTGTAACTACAGAGTAATTTAGTCTTTATCTTTTATGTTTTAGTCTCATTATTGCACTGTTTATAGTTTGCTATCATTTTGTGATAATGTATATATAATAAAAATACATAATAATACATCTATTCTTTTAAAACTACAATAACATCTTAATTATGTCCTTAATTTATTTTTTTTATCTCAGTATTTTTTATATATATAGTTCATGTAATTAAAAAAACATTGCTTATAAAAGATACTAAATTCATAATTCACAAAATATTTCGCAACATACTTGACAGATATTTTGCTAAAATGTTATGTTATTTTAGCTAACAGAAATCAAGTCTTTGCTCTAAATATAACAGAATGTTTGTGCTGCCGCTCTATGTTAAACCTGCTTATGTTAATATATTGACTTGGCCTTAAAATTCAGTCGCGATTGCAAAATAATTTGATTCTTTAAATTTGCTAAATAGAATTGTAATTTTATATTAAATATAATTTTATTTTAATTGTATTGATTATTTTTTAATATTAATAAATTAGGAATATTTAATGAATTTTTATTCAATTTCTAAACTAACAAATGCAATAATGCAAGCACTTTAAAAACTGCAGAACTGAAATTATTATATGCACAAAAAATATTTTTAAAATATTAATTAATTAATTTTTTATAGTTATTTACAGCAGACATAAAGTTAACATGAATTTTAGTAAAATATTTACTGAAATTTAATGATGACTTTAAACCCAACAAAAGGCAATGACCGATTTTTAAGGACATTTCTTTTAAGTGAATGTTAAAATTGTCATATTAATTGTTCATACAATGTTTGCATTAAAATGCAAAATTATTTTGAATGAAATAAATTACCAAAAT